CACTGAGCTCACAACTGGCTTTTGGTGCTGGTTTTTACACTGCCTTTTGTGGTTTTACACGATTATAAAATGCGTTTAATAGTATTTTCTTCACGGCTACAAATTTTCACCATTAAGTTGATAAGTAGCAGTTTTTTTTTTTTTGTTGAAGTTCAAAATTAGTGATTGATCGCAAACGAAAAGCAAACCAACCAAAATAAAATAAAAATTCAAAAAAGAATTTTGCGAATTCGTACTGAAAATGCTGCTTTGTTGTTGCTTAGATGCTTGTTACAACAATAAGCCGAGACGATAGGTTGCGATATGCAGTCTGGTTTTGTATTAAAGAGGAAAAAACTTGATTATGCTCCACACTTAGTGCTCCACCAAAACAGTGTCGCTCACTAGTGCTAAAAGACACTCTCTGCCACGTGAAGAGTTGCAAGCGCTCTGGTAACAGGCTGCGATTGCCAATAGATTGGTAACACACACAATTTATGGTGCAAAATAAAATGCGAGTTATCTGCAAGAAAAAATAATATATAAAATTTATATGTTTTGCTGAGACAGCATGTGGAGAGCAAGGCTAATAGAACAGAATTAACATGTTCTTCAATGAATTTGGATTTTATCTTTTGAAGCGGTTAAGTTGCACTTTCAACCTACCATATACGCCTACAGAACTCACCGCCACTGCACAACAAAAAGGGCAGGCACGTGTAAGAATTCTAGGTTGGGTGCTGTTGCTACGTTGTTAAACAAATACATAAGTATATATATTAACCTATTGGCAAAATTACTGTACCGTGTCTTCGTGTTCGCAAGATCCCATTGCAACCAGGGCCTTTGTGACGTCACATGCAAAATTAATTATTTTTTGCTATAATTTTCGATTTCATAGTAAAAATTTGCAGTGAATGTTGCTAAAACACATTCGCAAATGCACATACAAATACATAAAAGAACGTATCAGCGCACATGGGCACATCCGCCACGGTGCAAAAAGATGGACGACGTCTGGCCGATTAGCGGCAGAGGTGGTAGTGGTGATATTGGTACCGATGGTGGCACATTAGCAACACAAAAAATGACAAAATTTCACAAGCAAAACTAATTTGCGAGTCATTCGAACCCGTTGCTCTCCACATCACAAATATGCAAACATTCATCAATATGAGTTGCAAAATTCAAAATCTTCTAGTTTCTCAATTACCTGGTAAATTTTTTACAATAAATTTATTATTGCGTTGCGTTTAAAACACTCAAAAATTTTTATTCCGCGAGTTTTCTGACTCTGACTTTTGCTGCTGCTGATATAATTTTTTGTGCTACAATTTCAATCGTCGACTATAATCAATCTGATTGATTCAAGGCGCAGGGTTGCGTGTTGGGCAAATCGATAAAATATCGGTATAATCGAAAGAACGTTCGATTGCTGGGAATAACGACAGAGATTAAAAACAAGCCGTTTTTTCTATTGTACCTTGAATTATTTGCGTTGAAGAGTCCCAACTTTGGTAATGTGGACATACATGTATTCATAGTCAGCTGTCGAGGCGACGCCAGCGCCAACGCAACGCCAAATCTGTATGTAAACGGGCCTTTATTGGCTCAAAATGGATAACATCAATCAATCAAATATTCAAGCCAAGGCGAATTTATATAAGGTGGTGTTGATGGCGAATTAAATTTTCGCCGCGGTACTACTAAATGTCAAAATTATGTGTTTGTTGTAAACAAGGCGAATTAATTTTACAACAAACACATCATTTTGACATTAAGACGTACCTCGGCGAAAATCTAAATTCGCCATCAACACCACCTTGTATAAATTCGCCTTGATTCAAGCATAATATCAAGGCAAGGCGAATTTATACAAGGTGGTGTTGATGGCGAATTAAATTTTCGCCGCGGTACTTCCGAATGTCAAAATGATGTGTTTGTTGTAAACAAAGCGAATTCATATTACATATTGGTGTTGTTGACAACAGTCGTTGCTTGAGCTGATCTGCTCTTTTGCCAGACTGTCAGGCCACTTTGGTGAATACCACTAATGTTTATAATTGGGGTGTTCACAGTTCGTTCCAAATTGTGTCTGAAAATGTAGACGTCTACATTTTGAGACATCTTTAGCATCAAACTGTGAGCACCCCTTTCTAGCAGTCGTCGCAAAATCGTCTCAAAACTTTGCTGGTGTTGCCAGACATTTCCTCTTTGCGTGCATTTTTTATATATCGCCTTTCGATTTTGTTTCTGAAAAATTGTAATTATTTAACTTAATTACCAATTCCTAATATTTGTTATTTCTTTTCCTTGATTTGTTTCTTTTCATCAGAAATTGCGCTCAAATTAAATGCAAATACAGAAAACGTGCCCAATAAATAAAAAAAATGTGATTAGTATTGCCATAATGCAACCCTGCTGCGAGGTTGCAAAATGTAGACGCGTAAAAAACATACCTTTGAGTGTGACAAAATGTAGACGGCGTCGTTTTCCAATTTTGTATGGGAAACAACAACACCACAGATTTTACGGTTAGAAAACGTCTTAAAATGTAGACGTCTACATTTTCAGACACTATTTGGAACGAACTGTGAACACCCCAAATGTGTTTTAGGCGCAGTATTTGTGACAATAGTCATACGATGAATTTTGCTAGTTTTGGCAGTAGTGGCAAGTGCAAATCGTTTTCGAAATTCTGTCAAACTCAAGAATTTCCAGAAGAGATTGCAGGACCCTGCACGTGAAGGGGCTTTCGAAAGCAGTTTTTATATCTGAAAATCAAACTTTCTGATACTACTTTTTGTCTGTTTACACGGTGAATGCAAATAAGTTCACTTTCAACTATGTTACCAGACTTTTTTATGCTTATAACAAAATTAATGACATGAAAAATTTACTACACCTGCTAAAATGTGCACAAAACAGTCACAAAATGACATTACTACTAAAATATTCAATATAAGTAGAATAAATTTGTTACACATATTTCATGTTTTAATCAACATTTTTATTATTTATACAAATTCGCCAAAAACACGTCACACGGCAACACTCGACTGGTCTTTATTTCCGAAAGAGATTTCTGCAAATCTGCAAAAAGGACTTTCTGGCTGTTTACACGGGAAAGTAGGCTTTCGATTTGGCATTTTGACAGCAAAATGCGCATGATTCAATAATACAAGGTTAGATATGTAATTATTGACAGCCGCGGTTTGACACTCCCTTACAAAAGGTTGACAGAGAAAGGGGAAGAATGCAATCCCTTGTTGCGAAAATGGTAGTAGCAAAGTACGCAAAGTAGGCAATTAGTAGTGAAATTCCTTTTGTAAATTATATTGTATTTGCAGGAAATCTGGCAGTTTAAACAAAATATTTAACAAAATATTAATACATATGCGTTAGTTACGTAATTTATGTGCTATTTAGCTGTATAAAAAATGCAAAGGACTCAAAATTAAAATAAAACTACTATGAGATTTATGTAAACATCCAATTTAAAAACAATTTATATTTTCATCAGTTAAATGTGCTTCATATGGTATACAAATAAATATATTTCACAAAGCTACACTTTTTCCAAGTAAATTTGCAAGAAGCAACACTGTGACACTGCTAAGGGAGCGGTACGAGAGAGACAACTGTCAGTTTATCGAACCTTGTATTATTGAATCATGCAAAATGCGTAGAAAAAGCGGTTGCATTGCCACGTTTAACCTTAACAGTATTTCTCTAGCTAGGGGATATATTTATGAAGAACATCGGAATAAAAAAGTCGAATATCCGAATAGTGTATAGATATCCGGTTATTAATGAGTTTTATATTGCGCCGTGCTACAAAATATAGTAAAACCGTTATTTTGAATTCAAAAATTATTTGAAACTTACGGTGCAATATCAATTTCGAATTTATCATATCTTCTAAATTCGAATTTTTTCGAATTATATCTTCTAAATAACAAAGTCCTTTAAAACAAATTCTAACGTCAGAGAGAGAAAAAAAAGGGGTTAACCTATATTTGGGTTTTAGTTTTGTGGGCATATTCAGTGTTTTGAAATTTTTTGGTTTTTGTCGCACGGTGTTAGTTATTTTGGAACTCGATAGATCCAGTAACATTGAGAACAATTTTACGAATCTGCTCAAATACTGTTTAGAATATCCGGCTATCGAATAACTAAAAATACGGATAGTCCCAACTACATAGTTAGTACTGAATCGTCTTTGGTCAAATAAGGCTAATATTTACGTTTGTTGTTTACTTGTAAAACTGGTCGAAATAACTGTGTATTCCTACAAGCCCATCCAATTAAAGACATTATTTTGTTTTTAATTTCAACATATGTACGTATGTATTTACAATGCATTTTGTTGTAATTCTTTATTTACTGATTAAGCAAATATGATGTATAATGTATTTATTTGTGTTATAATTTTATGTTTTTATTTTTTTTCCTTTTCGCTTGATTATTTAATTTAATACTAAATTTAACACCAGTAATTCTAGTCTTTGATTTTCATCTTTTTAAGCTTTTTATTGAATAAAGTAATTATATTTAATTTGGGCCTGTTTCGCATTTGCTAATAGAAAATCACACAAAAAATAAATTAAAAACAAATTAAATTCAAGTTAATGCTACATTTACGCATACATACAAACTTATGTACATATGTAAAAACCGCTATAAAAAAAAAATAAAGTAACGCTTATTCAATTGCTAACTAATAAGGAGCGAGAAATACTTGCAGGCTTAATTTGTGTTTTTTAATTACTTATCTATAACAGAAATTAACAAATGATAAACTTATGTGCTTAATCCATAAAACGGATTACATTTGAACTCGCTAACTATTTCTCATACGGAAGTTGCTTGTCTTACGAGCATTTGGTTAAAAAAGAATAATTTTGCGTATGCATGTACGTAGGCTATAGGCCAATTTAATATTTTAGAATGTAAGGAAAACTCGCAATTTGATTTGCAGACTAACTAAATATAATTGTAGATAAGATTTTGGGAACTTCGATTTTAGTTTTTTTTCGTTCTTCAGTCAACATCTATAAAGCCATTTTAAATTCCGTTATTAAAATGTTTCATATTTTTCCTTAGAAGAAATGTGTGTTCACGCTTCAAGTTTCCACTGTAATTAATTTAGTTTTAATAGACAATGAGTCTACATGAATGACATGACAACTTTTACTCCGTCTCTTTGTTTTTGCATTTATATGAATCTAGCGAAATTTGATTTCTCATTTAATTTGGTGTAGTTTTCTGAGAGTGAATATTTTTTTAATGGTGAATTACATATAAGAATGGCCATTTGCCGTCATTTTAAGTAAACGTACGGTTGGCCTATTTATAGTAGGTTCTAACCTAAATTTTCTACATTACTGCTATGCTCTATTTACAGTCAAACTTACAAAACTATTAGTGTGACATTTATGTTTCAAAGAAAACTTGTTATTGAACTTGTTAACGCTTTTTCTGATAACTGTTCAGCGAATAATTTTTCAAATATCCATAAACGCTTGCGTACTGGAGAAATACATTATTAAGTACCTTAAGCAGTTCACATATTTATTAAAATTTTGCTTTACTAAATTTACATTCAGTTCTTTGTTTCAGTGTTTGTTCATTTAATTTTCTTGTTCCATTATTTTTTTTTATGGTTTCTGGGGAGGTGTACATTTTTTATCGCATTCGAATTTTTTTCTCTTTCTCAAGCTTAATGTTTTTAAATCAGTCAAGGCAAAAGGATTACATTTTTTTAATACAGCAATAAATTATTCAAATTAAATATCCCAGTAAAAATTGAATGCAAAATATAACCTAACTTCTTTTAGATAGATCACTTTCAATATGAAGCGATTATATTCGATAGTTTTCAAAAAAAAAAAATGTACATAGCACAACATAATATACAACTTAATAAACAGCAATCAACGTTGTGCAAACGAATTGTGCACATAAAGTAATAAAATCGCTAGACCGCAACGCTTCCCGCTGATAAAATTTAACACTATTGCCAAGTTCATGCGTACCAAACAATTTCACCTCGATATCCTCGTTTTCTAACTCTCTTTTTTATCCCACCTTAACCAACGCATTTGCTGTAACGCCTTTTGTTGTGTTTTATATCGCGCGTCCGGGTCAACTTCAAAATGTCTCGCCACCCGCGTACCAGGGATGAATCCAGGGCGTCGATGGCGGCGGCGTTGGGGGATATATCGTCGGCGACGGCAGTCCGTGTGTTCCTGCTGCTGCAGCAGCTGCGGCGGCCGCCGCTACCGCAGCACTAGGCGATTGCAAGTGATATGCATTGGCTGCAGCCGCCGCCGCTGATGGTGGCGAGAATAATGAGGATGCGTGTGCTGCTGCCAAAGCTGCTGACGATGACGCTGAGCTCAATTTGTGTGCCGTTGTCGCCGCGGCGCCTGCGGTAGACGAAGCCGAGCTTGCCACCGAAGCCGCTGATGCGTTCGAGGAGCTGCGATGCGTAGACGCGTGCTCTCCAGCTACTGCTGCTGCAGCTGCGGCGCTGAAGAGCGACATAAAATCATTAGCAGCTGCTGCAGCCGCAGCTGCTGCCGTGGAGGACGAGGGCGTGGCGGCCGTTGCACTATTGTGTTGTTGCTGCTGCTGTAGCTGTTGGTGTTGCTGCTGTTGAGCGGCGCGATTGTAGCGACTAGCATCGGCAGCGCGCGCTTGCTTCTCTGCTGCTGCAGCGGCGCGTGCTTGTTTATCTGCGTGTGCCGTTGCAGCTGTAGCACCGCCTGCTCCCAGCCAATCGAAAGGATTTGCAAATGGATTGACCGCTGCAAGCGTAGAATTGGCGCTTAGCGGTGGACTAAGCATGGTGGCAGCGGCAGCGGCAGCTGCAGCTGCGGAGCCGCATAAGAAGTTGTAAGCAGCTGCACTTTCGGCTGCAGCTGCGGCGGCTAACTGCTGCGCTGCGGTGTTGGTGGAGGACGCAGTATGACGCGAAACATTGCCATTTGATGCACTGCTACTACTGCTCTTTGACGCAGACGACGACGAAGAGCCGCTGCCAGCGCTTTGTGAACTTAGGCCGTGGCCATGGTTGCTAGTGCTGCCGTTGTTGCTATTGCCGGCGCTGATTTGTTGGTGGTAATGCTGTTGTTGCTGCTGGGCGTGTTGGTGGTAGTGTTGGAGTTGTTGTTGCTGTTGTTGACGGCTGTGGGAGTACAACATATCAAGCGAATGCGGGTGCGTGTGAGGGTGTGGTAGCGGTGGTGCCAGGGGTGCTACATGCGCGCTATGCGGTGCATGCATGGCTGCTGCCGCTGCTACAGCCGCGGCCGCAGCTGCGTTTTGATGATGTTGTTGGTGTTGTTGTTGAAGAAGTTGTGCTGCTGCTGCCGAGGTGTTGGCGGACGACGAAACTGCCGATGAGGATGACGATGAAGACGAAGACGACTTGTGTTTCAATTGTTGCTGAAGCTGTTGTTGAGCTTGCTGTTGTTGTTGCTGCTGCAGCTGCTGCTGCTGCTGTTGTTGTTGTTGTTGCTGCTGTTGTTGTTGTATATGTTGTGCTCCCCAACCCATTTCCTAGCTTATACGTGTGCGCTTTGAAGGCGGCTGTTCCTGGTTTCGAGTCATAAACAACAGCTGCTTCATGTACTTCATGACATCGCGAACCTGCACTAACGGTATATTCTCATTGTGGGAGCGATCGTTTTCCATCAGAACCTGCAGTTGCCGCCTGAGCAAGAATAACGGAATAAAAAGAAAAAAGGGTCAACCAATTTTCGGACTTCACCCATGTATGTATGTACATATATAGAAATTTGCATTTGCGCTTTGCTTTGTACTCACCGATTACCCTTGTACAGCTCTACACCCAACGTCTCGATCAGCACCTTGCAGTTCTCCAACGACTCATGCGGAAAGAAATTCTTCTGGAAATCGGTGAGTGTCATCAGTTGATCGGAGTCATTGTACGCCTTCATGTTGATGCACGGCACCAGGCGGTTGTCCACATATACCTTCTGCACCTTGTACGGCTGGTTTCCCATGTTGTTCGCCGCGCGCTCGTACTGTTGCATCTCCGGTATGATTGATAGCCGTTGCGCATTATTCGCGGCAGCAGCTGCGGCCATCGCCGCATGACGCTGCAGGTGCATGCTGGCGGAGTTGGCATTCGCCGAGGAGCTACTACTGGCGCGGCCATTTTGCTGTGCATGATGTTGAGCAGCGGCCGCCATGCGTTGTTGTTGTTGTGCTACTGCGACGGCAGCTTGGTGTGCTTCCTGCTGCTGTTGCAAGTAGGCGGAGGCAGCTTGCACCGACCTTCGGGGGGAAGACAAATCGATTACTTCCATTGGAGGGGTATTCTGATGATGGTTTTGTTGGTGGTGGCTATGGTTTTGACTGTGGTGGTGGTGATGGTGGGAGGAGTGGTGGTTTTGGTGGCTGTTATAGTGTTGCGAGGAGTAGTGGCTGCCACTCTTGCCCGTGCCGCCAGTACTCGAGGCGGACGAGCCGTGCGATCGCGTAGGCGATGGAGAGGGGGTTGAGGTAGAATTCGAGGTGGAGGGTGAGGGAGGCACGTTCAGCGCTGCGCTGGTGGAGCAAATGACGCTTTTCTGACGTCCACTACTGCTGCCACCACTAGCAGATGAGTGTGACGAATGCGAATACTGTGAGGGAATGTGGGGCGTAATGGTCACATTCGGATTAGGCACAATGGACAGTGAGGGCGCGGGCGAAATGGGTGGCGACATAAAAGGAACAAAATTTTGAGACGAATTCGTCTGAATGAATGTGGATAGATCCGGATTGGATAGTACTTTCTGCACCACCGCTTTCATTTCATCAGTCATTTTGAACTTCTTTTCGAAATCTTCCAGTGACGCTGTTGAATTCAACGGCACTGTGGCACAACCTGATGAGGAGGTTAATGAGGAAGAGCTTGTATGCCGCGACGAGCTAGTCGTGCTAGTCGAACTGCGCTTACTAGGCGCTTCCGCGGAGCTACTCACTGGAATTAGTGGCGGTACCGAAGGCTTAGTGAACTGTCCATTATTGGTGGTGCATGTAGACGTACTGTTCTTGTTGCTATGCTTGTGGGGATTATAGTCCAGCATAGTCTTCAGATCAGTGTCTAAAGGCAGCGATGGGAAAATAGGAAAACCTGGAGCTTTGCTGGCACCAAGACTGCCAACGGTACTGAGGCTGTTCGAACGCTCTGTGCTGGTAGCAGCAACAGCTCCTGAGACAGTGCCATTGCTTTTGATTTGCTGGGTAAGCAGCAGGCGTTGGGCGGGCGTCAATTGATTCCAGAAGGCCATATCGGCGGCAGTAGAGGGGAAATTGAAATTGTATGGACTGGCAGAGGCACTGGGCGCGCCAGGGGCAGCGTGAACATGGGAAAGGGGTAGGGACTGGCTGCTGGGGGTATGAGATGCAGACGCATGGGAAGAAGCAGATGGGGAACGGGACGAGGAGGAAGAGGTGTGTCGTTGTTGCTGTTGTGTTTGTTGTTGCAGCATAGTTTGCTCGACATTTGACCTAGAAACATTATATATAGAATAGTTTTGTAAGTTTCACCTTCGTTGTGCGGTGCGACAGTTTTGTTTTAAATTTTTTGTTAATTTTATTTACAAAATTGTATGTTTTCAAATTTAATTGCAAAATTTTAATATAACGCGTTGAAGTAATTTTGAATTTTCTTAGTAAAAATTAAATTTTAAATTAAATTTCAGACTGGATGCGTTTTTAAGAATTTTGTTCAAATTCTTTTAAATTTTCACAAGTTCATAAAATTTTAACTGCAATTTTTTTCAAGTTTACTTTAGTTAGTTCATTACTTTTTTGTTTATATAACTGTAATTCTTCATTGGCGCTACTTTCGTTGTTTTTGTACACGCATTATATATAATGTATCTAGGGTAAAAAATATCTTTGAATATTATTGATATATTGTTAGATTCAATACAAAGAGCCAGGGGTACGAGAGCGAGAGCGAGCTATTTGAGTGAATCAATGAAGTTGGAAAGGATACAGAATGGGTGGATTGCTTACAATTACAATTGTCAATTAAAGACGCAAGGACTTGTTTAATTAAATAATTGTTTTTTTTTTTAATTTATGTTTTTCAAATGTTGTAGTTCCTTTTTATATTACTTTTTTTGTTTCTATTTAACAAGTACTGATTTAAATGCAAAAATAAATGATAATTTCAAAAATTGTTCAACCACGTATGCTAAAACAACATTACTATTACTACTAAGCACATGTATGAACTATACTAATTAGAAAATTTTCTTAAAAGTTGAAATTGCTAAACTTTGAGCGCATAGATAAATGTGAAGCAAAAAAAATTTGAGGCATGCAAAGAATTACGAAGAAAAAAGGAGGTTTTGAGGGTGTATGTGTGTGCTGCAGACACAAAAGGATAGATATCAAAGTTCAGTTCTGAAATCATTAAACTTTCTAATTGGCATTTTTAGTTCAAAATAACAGGTAAACAAATGAGCTCGCATATCCGCATATTGCAGCCCTGTGCACGCAAACTTGGCAGCATTTTTTACTTGTCACTTCCTTCCTGCAATACACAGTCGAACTACAACAAAGCACAAAGTGACAGCATCGGCTCCATTTTAAAGCGGTTCATTGGCTTCGCGAAAATTTGTGAAAACTTTTGCTTGTGCAATTTTTTTGCGAAAATGCTTTTTGTAATTACGTTAATAAGCCAATAACTAAGTGTTTGTTTACCAGTGGCTGCGGAGCATTATTTTGCAAGGGTCTAAGTGAAAAATTATTTTACAACGAAACAACTCCAAATGCGCAACGTCACGGAATACCATGATATTTAATCGTGTGCCTAAATAGTGAAAATTTGTGAAAGCAAAACGATCTGTAGGCGTATTTCAAAATAAATCTAGTTCAGCTAAATCATTCTCTGGAATATACCTACATATCGTCGATGTTTTTGCAAAACCGTCCATCGACCAGTTGTAAACCCGCCTAAATCGCCGTTGTGGCAAAAATGGGATTTAGTAACCCTGAACTCAAGGCATCGAGATTTATGCATAAAAATCGTGAAATCTATTAAAACAACAGATTTCTAAAATAATAGCTAAAGAAAATACCGTCTTTCTAGGCAATGCCCTCAAAAAAAAACCTTGTTTCGCTCTGCTGTAAAATTTTAGTGCCGGTTTTGCAATTGGTCGATGGACGGTTTTGCAAAAACATCGACGATATGTATGAATCAATCAAAACTATAATGGAAAAATATAGGATTGCGCTCTATGCTTTTAGTTTAAGGTATGTACTTCAAAAATATTTCACTAAATAATTTAATTCAGATGGTAAACTATAACTTGCTGAAAATATACATAACTGCCATTTTCTCAAGTAGGTTTTAAAATTATGTATCGGCACTTCAAACGCATTTTTTACGTTAAAATTTGTGTTCAAAGAACAGATAAATGTTAAATCCTACTTGAGAAAACGATCCTAAAAGGCCCAATTTTTACAAGAAACTTCAAAGAAAAACACTACAACAATAAGAAACCCAATATTAAAAAGAGGGAGGGAGAAACGAATTTCGATTTGTGAAAAAGTACTAAATTAAATGCGTGCACAACCACCGATTTTTGCAATATAAAACAGCTTTAAAAATTCAAATTTAAAACAATCGTAAAAGGTAACTTGTTTATGTGGAAAAAAGCAAAAGATACAAAATTTATGTGGTGCATACTTTTTTTGCAATACAACAGTTGGCAACAAGCAGCGTGTATGCACCAATAGAAACAAAATATTATTTTCTTTTGTTTGCCTTAATTAGAAAGTAATCGTTAAACGAATTACAACTAAATTTGAAAAACACATTTTTTGTAAACAATTTCTTTTTTAGAACAGATAAACTTTATACAAAATTCATATTTGAATTTTAATAAATGTTTTGTTTTTTTTTCGAATTGAGTAAAAGTTTAAGAGTTTGCATTTGATTCTTTAAAAAACGTCTATTCATACTCACATATGGTTGGCGCTTTGGCCAGCGCCAGAACGCACCAATGGCGGCGGCGCATTCGCTTGATTGTGACTATTCACGGGTTGCATCGAAATCGCTGGATTATTGTAGGCAGCATAGGTCGGCCGATTGCCGAGCAGGATATTCTCCATTGGACTGCGTTGATATTGTGGGGCACGTGAATTGGGATGTGACTGTTGCGCCTGAAAGTATACAAAAATACGATTTTTTTTTTTTATATAAAACAAAAGAAATATGAATGTGGCACAATAAAAAAAAATGCACTTAAGGTACATACATATGTATGTACGGAGCAAGCTTAGTGATATAATTGTTTCGGGAAGTATTTATGGGCGACTCCAGCGAAAAGTCTACCGGGTAAAAAAAATTTTAAGTCCTTTATCTAAGTTATTTATAGGTCGATTGTCTGCTTTTTATAATATATACGGGTTATGTAAGCAGAAAATTTTTTGCCAAAAATGATCTCGCTAGGTGGCGCCAGGATCGAGATATTTTGAAAACCGTATTTATGCTCCGATTTGTTTCATATTTGGCCCGTTTAGTTGAAACGTAGTACGACATAGATTTGCAAAAAATGAAACCGCTGGTGGCGCAAATGTCAAAACAAAAAGTACCTTCGACATAAAATGCATGTTTTCTTCCCGTTAAAAATTCATTCAAGAACAATATTAACAAAAGAAAGCGTAAGTTTACTAATATCTTTACATTTTTTTACTGAATAAGCGGCCATTTAATTGCTATGCAAATCTAGAAAAACCCTTTTTAAAACTTTAAACTTTTTCAGTTTAGTTTTAGACTTTTAGTGGCAGTTAGGTCCATATATCCCGTCATTAATGCTACTGCAACAAGATAAACAAAAAAAAATCAGCTCCTAGCCTTTGATAGATCCAAATTTGCAAAAAATATTGCCAGACAATTTCGATTGAAATTAACGTTGCCGTGGTAGTCGGGCACATGTAACAGGAACATCCCAGGATTAACCTGGGCAAGGACTCCCACATTTTATGTTGCCGCAACGGAAAATTTTGTAAAATAGAGTTAACTTACGCAATCGCCACAAATATTTTAAACTACACTATTAACGATTTGTAAAACTTAAGTATTCATTTATTGCATTAAATTTGATGATTAACTACAAATATAACATTTATAAAATGAAATTAAATATTTTTTGGTCAATCATGAATCTGTGGTATCTTTGGTTTTACAATGCTTTTTTCCCACAAAAAAAAAACAAAAGAAAAATAATTATTTTGGTTTGGCGCACTGATAAGTCTCGCCGATGAGGTATGTAGATATTTTTTGTGGTTAAAAATTCGCTGAGAAAATTTTTTTTTTACCACATTTGTACGTAGTATGTTCATTTGTGTGCGGGTATTTTGTTAATTCACGCACATACTACACTGAAAAGCAGTACACTTCTCTTAATGCTTAGCCGCTTTGTATTCGCTTCTAATTCGTCTGTATTTTTCCATTATTTTGATTATCATTAGCAAGCTAGTTGTAGTTGCTAGGTTGTCATAGCGGACGCCATAAAGCGCCCGCGTTTGATTAAGATTTCGCTTGGCTTCTAGCCTCTGCTAACAACAAATTAACATGAAATAACCGACTGCTTCATCTGCAGCTATGTATGTTCATAGAAGGTACTTTTTCTTAAATTTCTTGTTTGCTCAGTGTAAATATTGTAAATTGTAAGGGTTACGGAATTGTTGCGAATGCAACCGATTACGATTTTGATTTGAGTAATGTCTTTGATTGTAATTATTTTGAACGTATTGATGTGCAGGCATCGGCTGCTGTTGGGAAGCTCCTACGAAACTCATGCAGTTTTCAATGTGTCTTTGACGTTTATTCTGTTGATGGTACCCATAACCATGCCCGTTGTACTACATTCACCAATGGCCACACATGTAGAGAATAAAAATGATAACAAAAACGAAATATCAAAATGCAAGCAATTGAACGGGCATACAGATACATACATACATATACTATAATACATAGGCAATAAGCATTAAACAACTAAAAATTAAAACTAAAGCAAAACATATCCATACGAATTAAATTTGCCATTTTTACACTCGATGATTTCCACAGCCTAGAGTGCACCACAGCCTAGAGTGCAGGCACGCAAACACAATCCAGTGGAACACTATGTAAGTTCTAATAGTATGGGTGTACATAACATGCCGCGTGGCAAGCACTATTTCCTACAGTTTGGCAACTTGTGGCAGCGTCAAAGAGAAAAATAAAATAAAATGAAACCGAAACAAAACCAGCGTGAAACCAAAAGTAGGCCAACTATAGACAAGCAACCAGGCATTCAGGCAGATTAAAGTGAGTTTAATGTACTTTTCCCACTGACTAAGTTTTCCGTTGAAATGTGCGAACAAAGAAAACCTTCATTGCTGGCAGGAGTGGAATCAGGGGTGTTGTACCTATTCAACAACTACATACATATGTATACATGTTCCTTCTATTGGCACAAAGTGCAATCTGTGCAATATTTCTGAAAAACTGTTTTCACCAAAATGTGTTTCGCACGAAGTTAGTCTAAGAAACTTGAGGATTAACCGAACAAATACGAGCTAAAGACCAGTTTTTAACCGACTTCAAAAAAAGGAGGAGGTTATCAATTCGTCAGAATATTTTTTTTTATGTATGTTACCTAACAGGTGGTCTCATAATAATCTGGTTTAGATGCGATCATTGGATCATGAAAAATTAACGGTACTCCTAAATTTTTATGAAAATTGCAGTCGGTTTTGTTTGCTTAAAAATTACTTGTTTTTTATGAAATACATGTGATTTCAAAAAAAAAAAGTTTAAATTTGTAGACGTTATATCAGCGGGGTTGGAGTCGTGTACCTAAGCGTTCAAAAACATCACGCCGCATTCTAGGCCACAGATGTCCCTTGTAAACTTAGCTTTTCCAATTTTTTACAATCAAAAAAAAAAACCTAAAAATCGGGCAAGTTTAAAAGCTTTGACCATTTTTCAGAAAAAAAAATATATATTTGAAATGCCAAATTTAATGGATTTTTACCTATTTTAGAGCTTTTCAAATATATTTTATTTTGTAGTAATTGCCGAAAAAAGGCTTAATTTTTTTTTTATTTTGTTGAGAATTCTCACCTGCGAAGCCAACATTTGTGCATGAATAAGAGGCTGCTGCTGCATCCACGTATTTGTCAAAGCCTACACGCGTGAAAGTCCAAAAGAAGGCGTTTGAACAGCAGTATCATTCCATTTTAGCACGACCGGATCCAAACGAGTTGTTATATGAAAGAGAAAAGATACGAAGATTTTTGTTTGAGATTAGTTAGATTTTCAAATTGAATTCGCATGTAATGTTTATTTTTGTTGTTGTTGTTGTTGTAGCGCACCTGCACAGTCGCTAATGCAGCATTGGATGGGTGCATCCGTTGGCCGGGCTGTTGTTGTTGCATAGCTGCTGCTGCAGCTGCCGCCGCCGCTGCTGCCGATGATTGTGTGGCGTAGGCGTTGGCGCCACGTTTCATCATCTGTTGCTGTTGTGCCGCAGCCGCTGCAGCGGCCGTTTGTTTTTGCAACATACTTGATTGTGGCATCACTTTTGGCGGTGGTTGCGTGGGTTGGCGCGTCCAATTTACCGAATTATTAGCATTTGTACGATTGCCAATGAGCAGATTTGAGTCGACAACTTTGCTGGGCCAATAGTCTTCGAATTCGGTACCATTAGGGAAATAGCTTTTAATGTCTGTCAATGAAATGACTGCCACATTTTCGCTGGAGAATAATTCATTGCGTATGCCCTGCACTTTGCAGCAGAACTTCAAGTAGGCCAGATCCCAACCAGAGAGATAGTCGGCTTTCTGTTTGAGATTCTCAGTTTCGCCTTCGAAATAGAAGAGCGGCACCACTTGCTCGTTGTTGCGCACCGTATACGGCACGACAGACTCCTTATTGATGCGTATAAAGCCGCATTTCTCCGAGGGTGACTTGCTGCCAGAGATGAGCTTGCGGTAACAAATGTCTAGGAACTGATAGAATTTGGTTGCATCCGAAAGGCGCACCACCAAATCTTTTTGCGTGAAAATGTCGCGTCCAAATTCACCATCACAGTGTTTTATATTAATTTCAATTAGAAGTCGCGCCTCTGCCTCCGTTATATAGTAGCTACGCACGCAGGTGCAACTGGAGTAAATGTCCGGGTGTAAGCAATTGAGATATTTGCCCAATAGCTTCATTTCAATCATTCGTACCGAACAATATTTCTCCTGCTGCCGATAGATGTACGGAATGTAAGTTTTACCAAATGTGGTCCAACCAAAATGTCCCTTCTGTGACTCCTCATCGCATGGCGCTTTCTTCTCGCCGGTGGCATCGCCACTACTGCCATTGCCATTTTGCTGTGCACCGTTTCGTCCATTGCCATTGGCGGCAGTTGCACTGGTGCCATTCGGCAGCTTCTGTTGGCGTGTCAAATAGTTCAGTATGTTCGCCTGACCATTATTATTGTTGTTGCCTACACCGGCTTGCATGCCGCCCACTTGTTGACGCGTAGCCAGCTGGGCAGCCTGTTGTTGTTGCTTAGCCAATGCGGCCTTTTGTGTTTCCATCATCTTGGCCGCTAACTCCTGGATCTCAGCCTCGTCGGCGCGTTCCTGCTTAACAGGTGCGCTCCAATTCGAGCCGATGCTGTTCCCATGTATGGGCAGCGGTTGGCCATTGGCGCCAATCACGCTGATTATCTGTATATCAGCGGACATGCTAGTGGCGCTTCAGTTAAACGATGTAATTTTGGTAGAAATAAAAATTTGCAGTTGCGATGGAAATTGTTGCAACTGGGCGCGCTCAAATTTTGCCCTTGTTCTTTTTTTCGGATAATATAGGGTTGCTTTCAGACCTTGCTTGCGTTTAGCAAGCTCAAGCGCGGTTGGAGCTTGTGCTCGCTCACACGTCAATCACAATGTTCGAACTTCGAACTTTTGCAATTCTCAGGTGGACAAAATTTCGAACATACACGCGAAGAAAATAAAACGTAAACGAAGGAATTGGCAGGAAACAAAATTTTTATAAAATGTAGGTCTTTCAGGGTATCGCTTGCTTTTTTGTTGTTATTAGCACAGCTTTATTCTTTATTATTTTCTGCACTAAACTACAAATTACCGGCGTTATGCTGTTTGGCATATAAGGTGTTGTATTTTCGTATGGGGCTATTCACAAATTACGGGTACACACATGTGTACATTTTCGCTAAATGTTTACGGCTATTAATTTTGCGTATTCCTCTCGCGTGAGCAACTGTGTCGCCTCGCCAGCTTTCTCCCTGACTGTGTTGTGGTTCTGTTGCTTTTTGTTTTTTTTTGTTTTGTAGTGGCTTTCTTTTTTTTCCTGATTGATTGTCACAAGACGCGTGTGCTATTTTTCTTTGATTTTTTTTTGTCGCGTCAATACAGCACAAACGACACTACAAACATACGCACGCACTGCGGTGACAGCAGTGAAACGGTAGCGACGACCGCTTACGCGGCAGCAGCGAGCCGCATAACGAAGAAATGTATTTTCTTTTCTTTAATTTTAAATTTAATATATTTTTTTCACTAATAGTTTATGTATGTATGTATGTGCAGGGATGTCGAATGTCCCACAGCGCCACACCCGTCCAATTTTTCGTTTTTGCTCAATTTTTATCAGCATTTGCTGCGTAAAGGGGCCTTTTGAGTTTCACACCAAATGCAATCACACATTTGTACACTTCACTCTTTCCATATTTGCCTTGTATGGCTTGTTTAGATATGTATTTCTCTACAATATTTCTTCAGCGAATTATTTTCGCTTTGCACTGCATGTGTTTTTTTTTGCTTTGAAAATTTTATTATTTAAAATAATTTTCTACTAGCGTTACAGTGTTTGTATGTAAGCGTTTTTCTCAAATGTGTGTATTTTGTACGCGAAAATTCAAGCGTCGCGGCCTTCGCTACGTCTTCACGTCTTCGCAATACATAAACGAGTGTGATCGTCGTAACGAAAATTATTTCTACGAACTGAAGTTGAAGCCCCCAATATACACAAAATGCATACAAACACACGCCTCTGCATAAACTGTACACACCAACATCACCACTGCCCACTGCTGCCGTTGCCCGCGTCGCCGACAGCGTCGACGTCGTTGTTGTCATCGTCATTGCCAGTACACTGTGCGCCACACCAGCCACATCAGACCAGCCAAAAGCAGCAATAATAACAACAACAACAGCACAGATGGCAACACTACCGATGACGATTTAGCAGAAGCCGTGGCAGCAGCAGCGGCGCAGCAACCGCAACGAAGGCAGCCGAATGGGCTATACAAATATGGCAAGCAAAGAAAAGGCAAAGCGAACAGTTCGGCAGGCCCCGCTTCAGCAATTCGGTTAAATTTCGTTAGCTGGCTCTGTCTCTATACGCGCCATGGCTACACTACAGTGCGGCCGCACTGCTGTACGCCATGGCCGTGTGGTTGTTTGTAGGCATGTCAGTGATGTCGACGAAGCGCAGCTAACGAACGTGCGAACGAACGAACGACGAAAGTAGACGGTGAGCTGCGGGCAGCAGTAGTAGCATCAGCGACTACAAGTATTCGAATTTCGTATGAAAACACAATCGCGCGCACATATTTTCGTACATACATATATATTTAAATATGTACATGCATAAGTACACTCGATTGTACGCTCACTCACTCGTTCGCTTGTTCGTCGTTCACTTGCTCGCTCGCACGCTTCAGACGCCAAAAAATTATAAAACAACAACGAAAATATGCGAGTGCTCGATTGCAAAAACAATAGCAATTGCGCTGTGCAAGTAGCGAACGATTGCAGCAACAACGACCGAGCAAAAGCAAATTGGTGGATTGTTTTTTTTTTTACTTGATTTTCGTGAACGGTCCGCAGCGCAGCGCAGTGCAGTACAGTTGTGAATTGTTTGTGGGTGTGGTTGTATACTTCGTTGTTGCTGCTTTTGTCTACTTCCACGTAAATTTTTGTTTTATTATTTCGCCATCTTCTATTTATTTGCGCTGCTGCAGTCGACGTCGACGCTGGGGGCTATATCGCTGTTGTTGTTGTTGCTGACATTATGTACTCTACCGTCTGTAGTTTGGTTGTAGCTGTTCTGTTATTCGTTGAAAAACGAAAAACGACAGCGCGCGACAGCCAAAGACGACGCGTCGAACGAACTGTGTGGAGGGTAGGGCCATTCGATTGGTACATATCTACATATGTATGTATGAATGTATTCCATTTAAATTTCTTATTCGAGTTGGGGCTTTTTTTTCTATTTTACTTCGCTGTATGAAATTTTATACGAGTTTTTTTTTACACTTTGCACATTATCGTAAATTTTAATTAGCTTGGTACTGGGTGCTAAGTGGATACGATGGACAGCGAGGCAGCGAATTCGTTTAGGGCGAGTAGAAGTGCGTGTACCTGGCTGGTATTCGCTAGTAAGCCATTCGTAAGCATTTTCCTTGACTGTAGCGAAGAGACCAGGGGCCAAAGAAGATAACGTTGTGGGTTGTTTTGTCTAAAATCTAAACTGAATTTACTCGATAAGTGCTTTCAGAGATAAAGAAAATAAATCCTTAAAAGTATGTTTACATATAAATATAATCTCAATCAAAGCTCGTTTTTTAATCACCCTATTTAGACAGGCAAATCTCAGAGTATTAGCCGTCAAATTTTTTGTACTTGTTATTCTCACATCTCAAGGAAAAATTATGTTTCTTCTCTGCGTCACCGTGATCACTTTTTTCAGCAAAATTATGCAATTTAAATATACTTAAACTTAATATTTTATTAAAAATAACTTTACAAACCTCCTTTCCTTGCTAGCGTATATATAAAAGGTCTGTTGTAACACTTAATAGTTTAAAATTTTTTGAAATATAAATATTTTTGATTTTCGTAGATCTGACCCTTGACCCCTTATAGCACCTGTAATATAAGTTTGAACAAAAAAAGTTTTATACATTTCACGCATTTTTTGTTCTAATTTCGGAGTAAAAACTATTATAGCATTTTCGAAGTTTGGTTTAAAATTGTTATAACTTGGCCCTCAGACGTCCTGGAGACTTCTAACTTAGCTCAAATTAAAGATCTTGAATAGCACTGCAGCGTACTTGTTATTCGAGGGATATAAAATTGTATGAAGGATGCACAGCTACATGCAAATAATAAAAAAATGCAGTAAATAATACCTTTTTTAAATTGAGGTGTTCAACTTTTTTTCGAATTTTGAACAGGGAATCGTGTTGCTCGTCTCAAAATCTATTATATTATTTTAATAAAAAATAATATTTTTTTTTTTAAATAAATCCTGTGGTTTTGCATGTTTTTTCGAAGAACACATTTTTTGACGAATGTTCCCTATTTTCCCCACCACCCGTAGATCCGCCCCTGCTTATGTCCTCGTTTGCGATCTCCCACTCTCTTCTCGTGCCATGCCATGCGGTTTCCTGCAATATTTCTGTGCTCTGGTACCCATACAAGTTTAACTAGGTTTAATTATTATAATAATTCGCCGCAACCACAAAGTATCGTTGAGCCTTAAAAGCAGATTTTTAGCTCAAGAATTTGCCGTGGATAAGACCCCACCACCGACTCTGAAGTCAAGCTTGAACGCGTCTGTGTTTATTGGTGCTTCTAGAGGTGCAAAACTATCGATGGCACTATCGATAGTATCGATGTTTTTTATTTTTCCCTACTATCGATTGTTTTTTGGTCCTATCGATAGTCCGACAGACATGTGATTCAGTATTTATTTTAGTTTTATTTCTTCTTTTCTTTTCATTTCTCTTAAACATCCAAGTTGAAATAAAAATTTGATTGCTACTTTTGTAAAAGAGTAATGTCAAATTTCGCAAATGACGGAAAACCTTGCATCTCTTAAAATACCGCTAAAAACTGATACAAATTAATTTATACCAAAACTTTCAATATTATCTATGGACCACTATTTACTATTTAATAAAAGGTAGATAAAAACCATTACTTCTCAGATCAAAAATGTTTTCTTCTTCTAAAATTGAAATTTACTTGATGAATGCCTTATATATAACGGAGGATATCGAAAACCACAAATATAAAACTTCGGTACGCCCAATTTTATTCCATTTCAATTCATTTCAAATTTTCAATAACTTTACTTCTAACTTAACGGTTAAACAATTAAAAAAAGTGTAGAGTAGTTTACAAGAATATCCAAACGTAGTTTCGAAATATATTCTTAAGGAAATCTTCATACGAAAATTGAGCCAAAACCATATAAATACGATACTATCGACGATATATCGATAGTTTTGAAAATAATATCGAAAACTATCGATGGCCTGACTATCGATAGTTTTGCACCTCTCAGAGAAAGATTTGTTTTATCAGAGACAAAGTTGCAGCTTCTAAGAATGCTACCGAAGCTCTTAGTACCCTTTATGTCTGGTTGTAGCCCTTGCAAGAGGCAAAAATAACTATGGAGTCTTCAGAGTACAAAAATATATGTATGTACATAAAAACATACATAACATTCATAAGTGTACACATACATATGTATGTACATATATATCTGAAAATATATACATATGTATGTATGTATAACGATTTTTTGACGAATCGTCAAAAAAAATTATATGAAGTGGTTGACACGAACTCGTAAAGAATTTTCTGTACGAAAAATAAAGAAATTTCTGAACAAATTCTGCAAGAAATTCTTCACGTAGCAGCACTATTTTCAT